GCTGGCTAGCACACAGAACACAGGTGCTGACGACTCTCAGGGCCGGGCTCCGACCTGGGCTCCCACGGCCCACCCTGCCCCGTGGGACTGGACTGCCGTCCCCGGTGGGTCACCGAGAGCTACCTTCGCCTGCTGGGTCAGCCGGGCCACCTCCCCCTTCAGGCTGTCCCCAGCCACACGCTCCTCCTCCAGCTCCTGCCGCAGCTGTGCCTTCTCCTGCTTCAGAGACCGAACTTCGTCTCTCAGGGACTGCAGCTGTTTCTCGTAGTCTTGTTCTTTCAGCTCGAAACTCTTCTCGAGAACTCTAGTCAGCAGAGGAGAGAAGCACTCATTTTGAACTGACTCGAGAGTCTTTGATTTCGAACGCCGCGCATTTGGAAGTAACGAGGGGAGACCCCTGTGCCCCACGGGGGAGATGGGCTCGTCGGGAGCTATGGTGGCGCTGCCTGTTCCCAAGGTAAAGGCACTTCCGCTCCTCCGAAGGACAGGGAGCCTAACAGGTCTCCGCCGCCCTGCTGCCCAGGCACACGCTGCCTCGGCCCCTCCCGGTCCCACGGACCCACCAGCTGCTCAGTTTGATCCTGGGCAAATTAATAAAGGTTGAGCATTCCTAGATTGAAGAATCTGATATCTGAAATGCTCTGAAATCCAAAACTTTCTGGTCACCACCATGCTGCTCAAAAGGTTTTAGACTGGGAACACGTTCAGATTTTGAAGTTTTGGATCAGGGCTGCTCAGCTGGTCAGGTCTAAGCAATGAGTCCAAAATATAAAAAAATCCCTTCAAACTGAAATGCTGCCAGCCCCATGCATGTTAGGGAGATACCCAGACCCCACAGGCCCGGCCTTTCAGAAACGAGTACGCAGCAAGCCCCGGCGCCCGAAGTGCGCGGACACCCAACTCCAGTGGCACGTGTGCGGTGTGGGCTGAGGCCTCAGTGTCACTGCCACGGCAGCGCAGCCCGGCCTCCCGCACGGTGCTGCGCTGCCCGCAGCTGAGAAGAGAGGTGCAAGCGGCACCACGAAGGCGAGCCAGGACCGTACGTTCTCTGCCGCTCCTCTCTCTGCACGTCGTCCAAGAGCTGCTGGGTGAGCTTGTCCATCTTTTCTGTGCAAAGAGAAGTATGAATATTTCTTTGAAATACGGCTGCTAAACCAGTGCCTGCGTAGGGAAGCGTGGCTGTGAGAACCATCACGCAGTGTTCCCTGCTACTGAGTTCCAGGCGAGAGTGACGCTTTTCACACACCGGAGACAGAGGTGGGGCCTCAGAGAACGCAGATGTGTTGGCGTGGGAACCTATGGCTAAACTGCTTCGTCTCTAGCACGTCCACTGGCCCGACTGTTTCTGTTAGAAGCCTGAGCACCACAGACGCCCTCAGAAGTAGAAGCCTTCAGGGGAAGATCACAAGGGGACGACAGGCTCCGCATGGCAGACGCCTGGTGTCACTTTGGCATCCAGAGGAGCCATCCTGTGTGTTGCAGGATCTGATCAGCAGCCCTGGCTTCCACCCCCAGCAGTCAGCAGCACCCCTCTCCACCTGTGACAGAAACCTCTCCAGACCTTGCCTGATGTCCCAAGGAGGGGAGGACAAGAGCACCCCAATAACCAGAGGACAGCATGGTGTCGCCCGCCCTCGAGGAGGAAGCAGGAGAGAGAGCCAGTGACTGGGGATGGGAGCCTGCCCGGCAGGAGTCACGAGGCTGGGGACCGCCCACTGCTGTGATGGCACCGCATCCCTGAGCCCATGTGAGTCATCAGGGTGACGTCCCTGCTCACCGTGGGCTGGGCCCGAGGGAAGGGAGGGGAGGCCCGGTGACAGGTCTCCAAATAACTCGTTCGAAGGACAAAAAGCCAGGGGGTCACTAGTCTGTCTAACACAGTGTCAAATGTCCCTGAATCAAGTGTCAGAGTCAGACAGAAGGCACGGGGGACCCTGAACCCCTAACTTAGAAGCCAATTTCCAGTTTACCAGAAGACCTGGCTCCAGGTCTGGGCTTGGCCACCTCGGCCATTCGCTCACGGCTTGGGGAGCTGCTCTGGGGTGGTTCGCCCCAGGACACCAAAAAAGTTCCAAGCAGGAGACGGTGCTTGACGACACTCCTGCCTGGTCACAGGGCAGGCTGCAGGTGCCTGTATGCCTGCCGCACCTGAGTGCAGGACAAGTGGTCACAGATGCAGTATGAGTGCTGCCTGTTTCCCAGAAGGCTGAGAACTTATCCACCCAGACAAGTCAGTTTTGGGTTTTCCCAAACTGAAATGCTCACCAGGGAGACTGCACTTAGAGAAGTCAGAAAAAAACATGACCGCTGTCCAGGAGTAGAGTGGATACAGAGACCGGCAGTGGGCTGAGCAGATTCCCCAGGGGCCAAGGTCCCTGCCCAGCCTAGCTGCTCCTGACATTACCTGGGCCTGGGGCCTCATCTGAGCCACCCCTGCCGCCAGCGCCTCCACCTGCCAGAGAGAAGCACTGTGCAGCGCCCCCGGGCAGAGAGGGGTGGCAGTGCTGGGAGACAGCAGGTGGAAGAGCCCCGTGGTGTGATGCAGAGCTGCCACCTGGGAGGTGGAAACTTCCCACCGTGCCACACCAAATGTCTAGCACAGCCCAGGTCGAACTCTGGCGGAAGGATGGGGTGAATGTAGCGGCTGCCCACTGGCTCTGGAGGGCTGAGAACCTTAGCAGCAGAAGCTCCTGTCAAGGCTGCCCTGCGTAACTGTGCCACGACACCGACCAGGGCTGCGGAGGAGAAAGTGAACCTCCACCCGAGGCCCTCCGGGCCTCCCACGCCCGGCCGTCTCCTCCTCTGACCTGCAGGTCTTCGGAGAGGCCACCTCACAGCGCATCGGCCCGGACACGACGGCCACAGTGCTCCTGGAGGACCCGGGAAGGGCGTTCCTGAGGTACTCAGGCGCTGCCTGGCCCCTCCGTCCTCACCCGCAGACCCTCATGGAGACCGATCGCTCACCCCGAAGGCGCGGCCTCTCCTGGAGCTCACCCGACCCGGTACCACGCATCTCCACGCTGGTCCTGGCCTGGGTGGATTCCTCCACGCCAGCCTCACTGGCCTGTCCTACGCACGGAGCAGAGGCCACCTTGGTCTTTACCTTCCAACTCCTGCGTCTTTTCTTGAAGCTTCATCTGTATTTGTTCTTTCTGTATCTCCAGTTCTGAGTTATGTTTCTGCAGTGTTGCCAATTTCTAGCAAGGGGAAAGAAAAAACAGAGTAACTTCCTTTGAAAACCTCGCTCCAAGTGGGTCAGAGTTTCCCGGTGAAATGCTCCTGCGTTAGCTCTTTCTCCCCAGTTCCACATGTGGGGCTCCAGGTGACTGGAAGCGGACACTTGTCCCACGCCAGCCCCGGGTTGCCGGGAAGCATGGGGACCTCAGGAGGGCACCGGAGATCGCCTGCCCAGGCCGGCTCAAGCTTGGTGGAAGCTCTGTTGCTCTGCTTCTGCTCATGTGCCTGCTGGGGGCAGCTGATCAAGGCAGCAGGGACACACGGGCACTGTCACCTCCCAGTTGCAGCACTGAGGGACCCTGGAGGTGCACGACAGGGACGGTGACGAAGGCCACCTCCTGGCAGCAGGTGCCCTCTGCTGCAGGTCCTCTAATGGGCATCTGGCCAAGCGATCTCGTCTGCCCTTCGTCCCCTGAGGACAGTGACGTCCGTCTTGGTGCGGTGTTCTTGTCTTACTCAGAGAGGGGAGTGAACTGGCCACGACTTCCCAGCTGGACAGCAGCCAGGCCCAGGTTTGAATCCAGGACTCTACCTCCCTTGGTCGGTTGCTTTTCCTACACCGCAAAGGTGAGACTCTCCCCCGGCTTTACGCTGTAGTTTGGGAAAATGCTTCCCGGGCCGGGTCTGTGGGAGCCGGGACAGGGCCTTGGAACCTCCCTGACAGGGATGCAGCCAGGATGACTTCGGGGCTCATTGCCTGGGAGACAGCTTGCCCTTCGCCTCTCTGCACATCAGCCCCTCCCAGGTCTGTCCCATTCCCTCCCCTGCACACGGCCACCCGTTCTGCCCCTGGGACGTGTCCCCCACAGGAAGGAACCCTCACATCCCCTCTGCACGACCACACCTGCTCCATGGCGTCCCTGTGTCGCCTGTCCTTGTCCTCGGCGCTGCGCCGCTGGGTGGCCGCCCTCTCCAGCTCCGCCTCCAGCCTCTGAACCCTCTCGGTGTCTCCGGCCCGAAGGGACGCCAGGCTGGTCAGCTTCTCCACCAAGCCATGGTTCTCCCTGTTCTGCAGGACAGGGACAGGGTTGGAGGTCCACTTGTGGGGAGGATGCGACTCACCATCACACCTTCCACTTCATGGACGTGTGGCAGGGATTCTCTGGCTGGGGCTCGAGTACAACTCAGGCTGGAACGTGGGGTCCGCCCCATCCCAGCTGCAGGACAACCCTGGTGCCGTGGGCTGCAGGGTCCCCTCCGAACCACGGCTGAGGCCCTAACGGACCCTGCACCCTGGACATGTGAGGCAGGGCCTCGGGCTGGCAGCGGCTACAGGGGCCCCGGGGACAGAAGGGAACGGTGTGTGAGGTAGAGGACGGCAGTGAGCCACAGGAGGCTCAGAGGAGCCGACCGCACCCACTCCTAGCCTGGACCCGGACTGCAGGATGGGACACCGCCACCCGAAGACCCCGCCCGTGGACCACGCCACACACACGGCCACGTGACAGTGGCCATAGGACCCTGTGGCTCATTGGTGCCCGGCTCCCCATTCAGAGCCCAGCCAGGGGGCTCAGGGTCAGCTGCAGGGGAACCTTGGGGCTGCAGAGCCAGGCCCAGGTGGCAGGAGGCTTTCTAGACCCACTCCCTGCCGCTACACCCTCCACTGCAGATGGCAGACGGGCCTGTCCTACCGCCAGCACAGTGCAGACCCCCGCAGGCGAGTCAGAGTGTGGTAGACAGTGCTCTGTGGACACTCGGGAAAGGCACTCTGCCTGGAGAAGCACAGCTGTACACAGGTCCTGGCAATTGGCGCCAGGTTGGGTTCTAGCCCCACTTCCTGCTTTGTTCCTATACAACCTTGTGCAACCCCGTGTGGCCACCTCTACAGTGTGCTTGTATTTCCTAGGTCAGGGCTTCTGTGTGAGCTGTTTGACCCTCCTGCCGGGCATGAATCTGCACGCAGAGCTGAGGATCTGGTCCAGAGTGACACAAATCCATTAGAAAGGGACATGGACGACATACTGAGGCCACCCACCTGGTCCTCCAGTTTTTTCTGCAAACGCTGAACCCTGTAGGCCAGCTGGACATTAAGCACGAGTCGGCGGATGCTCTGGAACCTGCGCCTGGCCAGCCAGGCCCGTGCGTATTTCTGAAGGATCACGGCCTTGTGTTCCTCCAGCATCTGCGGAGCAATGCACGTTGAATGTCACGGTGCCTCACCGCTGGCCCAGGGCTGGTGTGAGGACTCTTGTCGCCAGCCAGAGCCGAGCACCACAGCCGGAGACACAGCGAGCGCGCCCTGCGCTGACCTGTGTGTCCTGTGTGCCCTACACGATGCCTGCTCTGCCTGGCCCCTCGCCTACCTTCCGGTACCTCCTCCTGGCCAGGAAGCCCCGGGTGTGCGCCTGGATGGTGATGGTGGCCACACGGATCAGCCGGTACAGGCTTCGGACCAGGTACCCTCGGGAGTACCGCTGCAGGACGATGGCTGCCCAGGCCTCCTTCAGGGCCTGTGCGGTGACAGCTTTCCTGGTGACAGAGCGTGGAGTGAGCCTGGGCTGCCCCACGGAGGGGGTCCACACCCTGTGTCACCTCCTGGGCCCCCACGCTGGCAGCTCAAGGCCGGCCCAGGCCAGGCTCATTCCAGCCACCAAAGAACCCGGGTGGCAGTGCACATGCTGCCAGTTCAGGATACTTCTGCCTTCCACGCGCGCCCCAGGGACCACGGCAGGGTGGCCGCGCCCCGGAGCTGCACCTGCTTATTCACTCCTTCCCCCTCTGTCACTCAGTCATTCACTTCTTCATTCATTCAAGATGCAGCACGAGCGTCCAGCTCAGGCATCAGCAAGCTTGGTCTGAGGCCCGGGTCTGCGGGCCCAGTTATGGTCAAGTCCCCCGGGACAGAGCAGTGCCTGCTATTCATGGGTGGAGAAGGCTTAGAAGGTGCCTGAGGCTTGGGTGCAGGAAGCCTGGGTCCCAGGGTGGCGTGGCTAAAGGGCAGGAACCTTTGACAGGTGGCCCAGAAACCGCACTTGGGTTCGGGAAACACGGGTGGGGAGGAAGGAGCTTGCTGACAGGCTGTATCAGCGAGGACACCCCACCCACGCACACCCCTCCTGCTCCTCTGTCGCAGTGTGACCGTCAGGAACTGGGTGGGGCTGCTCAGAGCTCTCAGCCTTCTGATCGGACAAATGTCTTTTAAGTAACAGTGTACCCTGACAGAGATGTAGCTCAGTGGTGCCGAAAAGCACAAGGACCTGAGTTCAATCCCTGGTACCAATAAATAAATAAAAACAGTGTATCCAGCCTTGGGACTTTAGCCATAGACGGGAAGCAGGTGGATGCAGCTGTGTCCTTGTAACAGGATGCAGATTCCCTCTTGGCCCTTTGCAGAAAGTGTGGATCTCTAACCACAGGACCAGAGGGAGGACAAAGTGCTTTCCTGCAGGATTTATAATGTCGTGGAGCCAGGTGAGGGAGACCAGCTACGGAGGGGAGGACAGAGTAGTGCTCTGCTGGGAGAGAAGAGACTGGGTGCTGGGCCAGCTATGGAGCGGGACAGCTGAGGGGAGGTGGGTTTTGGAGGCCCCAGCACCTGAACTGGTCAGAGGAGGGCTATCCTGATCGCCAGGGTGCCCAAGTGTGGCCACTGTGCTGGGCTGCATCTGGACACTGCCTCATGGCTCAGGTCCCTGCGAGTACCAGCCTCTGCCTGGGTTCTGCAGGGTCCCACGTCCCGTGCAGCGGGCTGGTCCCCACCTGTGGAGCCGCTGGGAGCTCTGGGGCCCCGGGGTTAGGGCTTGTCCTCTCTAGGTTTCCTGGCGTCTGCTGTGATGAAGGGCCTCACCTGGGCCCAATGGCAGGCCCAGAACAGCAGCAGACTTCCAGACTGTGGGCTGCAATGAGCTCCCTCTTTAGGAGTGACCACCTTGGGACTCATGGTAGCAACCGGAAGCTGCCCGCCTCAGCCTCCAGCTCAGGAAGAGGCCTGACTGCCTCCTTGTCTGTCCCTGGAGCACTCGGCCACTGGGAAGGAGCTGAGACCACCAGCCCCAGGGCTGTGGAGAGCAACAGGCCACATGCTCTCCCACAGGCACAGGGAGGTCTTTGCTTCCTAGGACCTCCGGGCATCGTGACCCTGTGCCGGGCTGGGCTCCCGCACCGGCCCCGGTGTGGTTTCTCCCTGCACTGGGCCCCACCATCGCAGACAGACACGTAGGGGCTCTCTTGGTACCCTCGCCCCGTGTCCCTAGGAGGCCGCTGGCCCTGGGCATTTCCAGTCCCCGGGCAGGGGCCCGAGCACAACCACACCTCCTGGGACACACCTCACGGTCTGCTGGCCCCGGAAGTAGCGCTGGATGACGAGGGCAGCGTGTCGCGCACGGAGGAACCTCCGCCTCTGCAGCCAGCCGCGCACGCACTTCTGGATGACCACGCAGCCCTGCCTCAGCTTGTCCAGCCGCAGCTTCTCCAAGTACGCCACCTGTCCTGCCCGGAAGAAGATCTTGGTCTTGCCGAACTGGTACTGATTAGAGTCCTGGAAGAACAAACGAGATCCTCAGAGGTGCAAGCTGGATTCACAGTGGCAGAGGTGGGAGAGGACGCGTAGCTCAGAGCCCCCGCCCTGAGCCTGGAGCATCTTCTCCCAACACAGCAGAAATCCCTGGCCAGGACCCGAGCTCTTTCCCTCCCAGAGTGGGCTGGAGCCGCTTTGGAGGAAGAAGGTGAGACTGGCTGGGGCTTCCGGGTCGCCTTCTGTGACCCAGCCAGGACACTGGGAACCTCTGCCTCCTGCAGAGGGTGGAGAGCTGGAGCTCTGGCTCCTGTCCTGGTCCTGGGTGCCCTGCGCCATCCCCTCCTGGCCACCAGGTCTCCATCTCTTCCACCCTAACTCACGGCTTCAGTGACAACCTAACCCACCTCAGCTGCACATCGCAGTGGCCATGCCCTGGGCTGGGAGGCTGAGGCAGGGCGATATGCCATCAGGTGAGTGAGCCAGCTTCAGTCTCCAGTACAGTGCCCAGGGCCCCTTCCTCACTGTGACAGCTCTGGCTGAGGCTCCTGAGGCCTCAAAGGGAGCTGGGCTGGGGACCCTGTGGGGGGCCGCAGGGACTCACCTGGATGAGCCTGCATAGCACCGCCATGCACACCCTCTTCCTGTCACCGGCTGCCAGCTCCTGCCGTGTCATGAGGACGCCGTAGCGGCTGTAGAACTCGATGTAGGTCCACCTGGACACCGAGGGCAAGCACAGCACTGTGGTCACATGTGGCGGGGTGGCTCAGTGACGACAGCCCTGCCCAGGCCCCCAGACTCCGAGGCCCGAGTCTGCTCCTCCAGCTCCTCCTGTGGCCGCTGCTGCCATCATGCCCATCCTGTCCAGCACACCAGCAGGGGCAGCGGGGTGGGCACGGGTGCTGACTTCTGTCCCCTGCAGCCTCCCATCGCCCTCTTCTGGCCTCCCGGAAGCTGAGTGTATGTGGCAGCTCAGGGCGCCACACCCCAAGTTCGGCGGCCGTACCTGGACGGGTAGCTCTGAGCACTGATGCGAATGGTTTCCAGGATGCCGCAGGCTCGCAGCTGCTGCACAACTCTCTTGGAGTCAAACCTTAGGGGAGCAGAGGCGACGGTGCATCACTCGCAGGGACAGGGGCCGTGGGGACGCTGGGGCCCAGGGCTCCCAAGAACAGGGACTGACACATCCAGGGACAGTGCCTCCGTGGCCTGTCCAGAGGCTTGGGACAGCGCAGGCAGCGGGACAGCGGAGGGCTTAGGGTGGCACACGCCTGTCTCCCAGCGCCCGGAGGCTGAGAGGCAGGAGGACAGGCCCTGGTCAGGGTCACATCTTCTGCCCCTCAACCTTCTCCCTAGACCCCTGCCGGAGGCCTGGCCTGGCCCTGGGAAAGCAGGCTCCGCCTGGACTGTGGCCACAGAGGCAAAGGGCAAGAATGCCGGAGTCAGGCAAGCCCAGAGGTGGGCAGCAGCCATGGCTACAGCCAAGTCCCCAGGCAGGGGCACCACCGCTCACTCGAAGGGCAGCTTCTGGTCGTTGGGCTTGATGCAGCGCACGTAGTGGGGTGTTGTGGTGTTGAGCGTCTCCATGAGCAGGGCCAGCGAGCTGCGGAACTGACGGGCAGGGCAGGTGACGCCCCTGAGAGCACAGGCGGGGCCGCTGGGTCTGGGCATCTGTGCTTCTGCTGTGGGCTGCCCGCCCCGCCCAGCCCCTCGGTACCTTGCTCCCCACTGAGGTCCGAAGATGCCTGCTGCTGGGCTTCATCCCCGGGGGGACCCGCCTCGGGGCGGCCGTGACACAGCTGTCCGCCGCACCCCTCACCGCACCTCCTGCCGCACACAGCTGGTCATGTGTTCGTTCTCAAGGTGCTCCCTTTGTGCTTTGTACCCATTTTCTTTTCTTCCTTTTGCTTTCCCTTTTTCAGTGGTGGGGATTGAGCCCTGGACCTTTGCAATGAGCTCCATCCCCAGCCCCTTGTATTTATGTACGGCCGTGACACAGCTGTCCGCCGCACCCCTCACCGCACCTCCTGCCGCACACAGCTGGTCATGTGTTCGTTCTCAAGGTGCTCCCTTTGTGCTTTGTACCCATTTTCTTTTCTTCCTTTTGCTTTCCCTTTTTCAGTGGTGGGGATTGAGCCCTGGACCTTTGCAATGAGCTCCATCCCCAGCCCCTTGTATTTATGTATTTTTGAGACTGGGTCTTGCTAAGGTGCTAATTTGCCCAGGCTGGGCTCAAGCCTGTGATCCTCCTGCCTCAGCCTCCCTGAGTGCACAGCACCACCTCATCTATCAGTTTTCTGTGAATGCCTGTCGCCTCTCAGACGGAGTCTCATATTTTGTTCCTTAAACAATACGCTCCTAAGTCTCCCAAGACAGCACCCTGCCAGTGAAGAATCTGGATTCCTATGAGTGTTTGGTGGCCAGACGATTTCCGTCTTGCAGACTGGACCCAGCTTGGGCCGTGTGAAGAGCCAGTGCACACACCTGGCTGGTTGTGCATTAGTGAGGCGTGAGGCCCAGCTCACTTGGAAAACCAAACCTGGCCGGCACTGACCCGGTGGGAAGAGTGAAGTGGACACGCTGTCCGGTCACCCGGGACAAAGGCTGCCCTGCGAGTAACCCTGGTTCTCCAGGTTTAGGAAGTGCTCAGTGAGAGACAGGGCCGCCAGCCTGCCGGGCGTGGGCCAGAGCCTGACACGGTAAGTGCACGTGAGGCCCAGCTCACTTGGAAAACCAAACCTGGCCGGCACTGACCCGGTGGGAAGAGTGAAGTGGACACGCTGTCCGGTCACCCGGGACAAAGGCTGCCCTGCGAGTAACCCTGGTTCTCCAGGTTTAGGAAGTGCTCAGTGAGAGACAGGGCCGCCAGCCTGCCGGGCGTGGGCCAGAGCCTGACACGGTAAGTGCACGTGGCAGGACTGAGCTTGCAGCCACCACGGCCGTAACCTCCTCCCACCACACCCTGGTGGCCACGCTGCACGGTGACCGGCCGCTCCCTCTGCTGCAAGAAGCCATCGCATGCTTCCATGCCACGATATCTGGAAGCCACAACGCCCACCTCCCAGGCAGTGTGCACGGGTCACGGCCACACACACGCGTAGTCACACCCTTGTCCTTCCCGGTGATGGCCATGCCCCTGTCCATCACACGGCGAGCACCCTCAGTGGCCCCTCACGAACCTTGCTCGCCCTCATGGTCTCCACCAGTGTGTCGTACACGGTGTCCCTGTTCTTCTCCAGGAAGCCCTCGCACTCGTACTGCACCTGCCGGAGGGATGTGGGGTTTCCAGAGGCAGATAACAGGGACACGAAGCTCCCCTCCCAGCCCCTCTCTAAGGAAAGGTTACGGCTTACAATGCAGCTGACCTCAAGGGAAGCTCAGCCCCGGCCTGTAGCAGCAATGCTGTCGGCTCGAGTTTAGGAAATTGGTGAAGGACTCAGTGCAAAGCCAGTGCTCCCTGCCTCAGTTTTGCAGCACACTGCCCACTCTGCTAACCCCTGTGGCATGTGCAAGTCACACGTGAACACCTGGCTCAGGGTCCCTTGGCTCCAGGCCACCACGCAGAGGGAGGCTCAGCGGTGTTGGCCGGGCGGCTGAGTCAGCACTGCTGGGCAGAGGCCCAATGCCATCCAGGGCCACCCGCCCGGGTCAGGCCACCTGGCACACGGGGGCCTCTGACTCCAGAGCTCTCTGCACCCGCACAGACCCTGGAGGCTTTCGGACCCTCACTTGTCCTAGGCTAGTGCTCCACCCCGAGCCATAGCCCAGCACCTTTTTATTATCTGAACACAGGGTCTCTCTCAGTTGTCCAGCCTGGTCTCAAATTTGTGATTCTCCTACCTCAGCCTCCTGAGTAGCAGAGATCACAGGTGTTGCATGGTTGCATGTTTTAATTTGTGATACATGTCTTTCCTGAATTAAAAAATGTATTGAGAATTAATCTAAGACTCGGGTGCAGCTCAGCAGTGGAGCGCTTGTTTAGTATGAAAAGGCTCTGGGTTGAATCCCAGCACTGCACACACTAATGCTATTTAAAATGACCCCAAAGGCACAGGTCCCCAAGGTGTGGCTCGGGTGGCAAAGGGTCCAGGCTGAGGCCACGTCTGAGGCCAAGCGCCCTGTGGATACAGTGCCAGGCGGCTGCGCCCATCCTTCCAGAGAGCTGCTGTGCTGGCCCTGCTGGCCCAGTGAGAGAGGGCAGAGGAGCTGTTTTCAGTGGCTGCCTCTCGCCTCGGCTTCCCAGGTGCTGAGATTACAGGTGGGAGCCGGGCAAATGTCTGATGCTCTCCTGACAGGACGTGGGCCACTCTTAGGAAAGTAACATCGTTTAACAAGAGATAAAATGGAACACGCGCAGGGAAGAAGACAAAGATCGCCAGAAAACATCATCATCTTGAAGGACCCTGCGTGGCCTCTGTAACACAGACACTGGTTTAAGAAGGAGAAAACTGCAAGAAAGAGGTGAGTTTTATCACCATGAACAACCACACTGTGTCACTCACAAGGTCACTGGAAACAAACTGAAGAGGATCACGGACTCCCACTAAATCCCAAGTCCAGAAATGAGGTCCTTAGCATAGTGGCGCAGTAAAGCCGGACAGTTGTCATAAAGAATATTAAGACTGGTTAAACAAACAGGACATGGTGCTGCAAGCCCACAATCCCAGCATCCTGGGAGGCTGAGGCAGGAGGAGGGCAAAGTCCTGCTCAGCCCGGGAAATGTAACGAGACCCTGTCTCAAAATATGAAAAGGGCTGGGAATGCAGCCGGGCGCACAGACCCTGCACTCAGTCCTCGTCCCATACACACCCCTCATCAAGGCTACAGGACGCTCAGGTGATGACTGCCCCGGACCGCTCAGGCCGTGTGGACAGCACAGGCAGGACGACGGACGTCACACACCTCGTCAGCAAAGTGCCGGACGATGAAGGAAGTGTCCGACATCCTGGGTTTCTCAAATAGAGAGTTCTTGTTGACAAAGTTATTATACAGCTTCTGAAGCCAGTTCTCATCGGTTCCGTGTGGTAACTGGAGAGAAGAGCAAGCCAAAGAGCGGGAGAGGAACAGGGACTGAGACGGAGCGAGACGCATGCTGAGCCCCGGGGGGCGGGGGCTGAGCTTGTGCCTCCCCCGCCACCGCCCGCCCCGGCGCCTTCCTCAGCCCGAGTGGTTTTCTGCTGCTACTGACAAATACCAATCACACATAGTTACGGGGCTCTGGAGTGATCTCTAACTGGACGCACTGCCTTGAGCAACGAAACACTTTGGGCCGGGACTTAGCTCAATGGGGCCGTGCCTGCCTCGCAAGTGCAAGGTCCTGAGTTCGAGCCCAGGACAATAATGCAGAAACAAAGCATTTTAAACTAAAGGAGATGGCCGTAGGATGCCGTGTGGAAGAAGGTTTCTACGTCTGCACAATGGGCAGCATTTCAGGGTGCTTCCCGGAAGTCCCCCAGTTCTGGAAAACCCGGGGCCGCCCTGGGAGCCGCTTCCTTCCCACGGAGCAGGGCACCCTGCTGCCCTCCGCACCCAGAGCCCCGCTGTCATCGTTGTCTCTCTGCCTAGTTGGCACCTCTTGGGCTGAACTCCCACACCCAGCCTTGGCACACGGCAGAGCTTGCTCCTCACTCTGGGCATCATGAACACCAGCTATATCCAGCCCAGACACAGAAAGCTCTCTGCCCTGAGTCTAAATGATTCCTGGGTGGCTTCTCTGTGACACTGGGCTCTGGGAAACTCCTGCGCAGAGCAGGTGCACACACCTTCTAGAAGCCACACTTGTAATCCTGGCACTGTAGGAGGCTGAGGCAGGAGGATGGCAAGATTGAGCTCAGCCTGGGAAACTTAGTGGCTTAGCAAGACCCTGTCTCAAAATGAAAACCAAAAAGCACTGGGGATGTAACTCAGTGAAAAGGCCCTACGTTCAACTCCAAGTACTAAGAACACGACAAAAACCCACCACCACCACCACCACCATCACCACCAGCAAAACCACTTCCTGGAGGCTTCCCTGCCTGGTGTGGCCCGGCCCGGGGGACCTTTCAGAGTGCCGGTCCTGCTGCCCATTGTCACCCTGCTTCCCCAGACTCAGGCGCTGAGGACACTCGTGAGGAGAGCGCAGTTGTGACAAGCTTTGCATGCCACAGTAACTACGCACGTGCAAAGACAGGCACACACCCCGTCAGCCCAACCTCCCGCTCTCCTGGGCAGATCTGCCCCTGTGAAGCGGCCCCCTCGGGCTGTCACAGGCATGACGTCCCCGACGGTCCCCAGGGCTCCCAGGACCCAGGTGGCCAGCGGTAACGCCAGGCTTCACGCGGCCTGGATGGACTTGGGTGTCCCCCAAGGGAGGAGGCCTGGTGCCACTCACGTCCCAGAGTTGGGGTCCTGCAGTGAGGGACGCCCCAGCACTCTGCAAGGACAGCTCCAAAGCCCGGGAAGCAGGCCCCTCTAGCAGCGCTTGGAAGCCCCGAGCTTTTCCACGGTTACCAAGCACTCTTCATCCAGCAGCTCCAGAAGGCCCATCCTGGCTTCGATCAGGTCGATGACGGGCCGGTTGTCGTGGAAGCCGACCAGCGTCCAGGGGATGCCCTCCTTCACGTGCTCCTCCTGCTCCAGCGTGAAGACGTGCTGGTGCCGCGGTGAGCGTGCAAGCAGAGTGGCGTCACGGCCAGGCGGGAGCAGCCCCGCGGCAGGGCCTCAGCGTTCGTGTGTGGACCGGAAGCCCTTGGGGTGTGCGCGACCCTCAACCCCCACGCGACTCTGCATGGGTCCCTATCTCCAGGGCCAGCCTAGGTCACCCGCAGCACAGCCTGGGACCCCGTGTGCCCTGGGTCCCTCTGCTCCTGCTGGGGGCGGGAGCTAGAACAAGGATGGCCAGGGACGAGCCGGGTAGGCACAGGGTCAAGCGCATGGCGAGACCCCCGGAGTCCCTGCCCTGTGGTGTCTGCCCACAGCCACTGAGGTCCCCAGGCATGGCAGGAGGTCACAGTGACATCCAGGGGAGCCTGCGAAGGGCAGGTCTGGGGCAGGGACACTGGGGGGACAGGAGGGGACTCAGGCCTCAGCAATGGAGCCCTCAGGTGGGCGGTGGGCAAGCCTCGGACAGGCAGCGGCTCTCTGCAGGCCTGCCCTGTGCACCCAGGGCACCCAGAGCTTGGCAGCAGCAGCCAGGGCACAGCCTTGAGGCCCAGGTCCTCACCATGGTGCCCCCTCCCCAGGGACTCACACAGAGGAGGAAGAGGGGACGAAGAGAGCAGGAAGGGACGGTGGGCCTGGCGCTTGGTCAGTGGCACACATGCCACTCTGAGGCTAGGTCACGCGTGTGTGGAGGACAGGGCGGGGCCAAGCTGGCTGTCTGGGGAGCAAGCTCAGCAGCAGTCTCTCACGTGAGAAATCTGCATGGGCTGAGGCCGAATGCGAACAGGACAGGAAAGGGAAAGGAGAAACCACTCACAAGGACACAGGCAGGGCCCGGACCTGCTTTGAAGCCAGGCCTGGGGGCAGACGCAGTGAGGCAGCCAGGCCTGCTGTCCCTGTTCCCCTCCTCCACCATCCCCCAGGGCTCGTGCACAGAGCTAAATGCCCCAGTGCCCACGCTGGTGAGGCGTAGCCCGAGCCCTCTCCAGGGAAGCATAGCCAGGCTGAGGGCAGAGGCCAGGACAAGGATGTTAGCAAAGCATCTCAGGGTCCCCTTGGCTTCAGAAACAGCCAGGCTGAGGTGAGGACGTGGTCACAAAACTGAGAGCCGCTGTGTGTGTGTGTGTGGTGTGACAGGGTGGGAAGCGTCCAGGACTTTCCCATCTCTGGGCTCCAGGAGAGTGCAGAAGCGAGGCTCGTAATTTCTGGAGGTAGGGGGACTCTTGTATTGACCACGCACGGGAATGTGAGAGCCAGTATTCGGAGTGGCACTTAACAGTCAGCATGTTCACGGGCTTGGCCACTCTGGGCCCCAGATCTCACCTCAAGGACAACTTTCACACTAATGAGTTTCCTCCTGGGGGAGACCCGCTGGGATCCACATCCTGTCTGTCTCCATGGGAGGGAGGATACGTTTGATCTCACAATTAGGAGGTACCACTGACAACTTGCAGAAACGCACGCCTGTAATCCCAGCACTCCGGGACTCTAGGAGGCTGAGGCAGGAAGATTACAAATTCAAGCCCAGCTTGGGCAACTCAGTGGCTTATTGAGACTGTATCTCAGAAAACAACGAGCTAGGGGTGTAGCTCCATGTGAAGGCAAAAAGAGAAAAGAGGGAGAGAAAGGGAGAGAGGGAGGGAGGAAGAGAAGAGAAAGAAGAAGGAGGGGAGGCCGGAAGGGGCGCGAGCCAGGGAAGTGGGGAGGCAGCCCGGGCCCCGTCCTCCTGTGCGACAGCCTCACGCGGCCCAGACCCTGCTCCGGTCCTGAGAGAGCCACCTACCAGGTTAAACTGTTGCTGCAGTTTTTCATTGGCATAATTGATGCAGAACTGTTCAAAGCTGTTCACATCAAAGGTTTCAAAACTGAAACACAGTTGAAACAAAATTAAAACAGGAAAAACTGGAGCAGGACCTATGCGCTCCTGTATAGGTAAGGATTTTCGAGAACTTCTGAGAAGTCTGTGGGGCTCTGGGCAAGTCTGGATGCAGCCCTGTGGGTCCGCACACCCTGAGGTCGGCTGACACGTCCCACAGGGCCTGCTGTCGCTGAGCGGCTGCTCGCCTATGAACCACGGCCTGAGCTGGGCACCCTGGGCGCAACACACGGTGGCGTCTCACTAGTGTGCAGACCCTGGGGTGCTGTCTTCTCCACACAGGAAGGCAGGACTGACAGCCCAGGTCCCTGCCCGGGGGATCTGGAGGGACCGACCTCACCTCCCCTGGGCGTGTCAGTAGATCCTGGGAGAGCGGCAAGGCCATTCCTGCCTGCAGCCCACGGCCCCAGGGCCCCTGGCTCGGCTGGGAGCCAGGACCGTCTGAGGGCAGTGGACCTGGACCTGCCACTGCAGCCCTGGATGTGGGGCTGGGCGGAACCACCTGGTTCTGAGGGAGGCTGGGCCTCCCCTGTCAACCGCCCAGGGCCCTGCAGGTGGCGTCCTGGGGCTTTGAGGACTGGTGTCAACACCCATCCGTGCCTGGACCCAGCTCTGAGGTGTCAGCAAAAATATGGTGCAGGCGGAAAATTTTAAAGTTATTGCAGGAAAGGACACAGTACCATGAATCCCCCTCCAAACACTGCCCCTTTTCTAGAGCAGCTCTGGAGTCCTCTGTCCTGAGCATTTTCAGTTGCACTGTCCTGGCTGCCTTGGTGTCCCGAACTGACTCAAAATATTTCCCTCTCACGCTCATTTTGACTTTGAGGAAGAGCAGGGAGTTGCACAGTGCCCCATCCTACGAATAAGGTGGGGCCTCCTAAGGACACACGGGAAAGGACGTCAGAGCTGCTGCAGAGGAGTGGGGAGAACAGGGTAAGGGTGTTCAAGGCGAAACGGAGGGTTTGGGAGGGGATCCATGGCAATGTGGCTTTTGCTGTAATCAGTATGTTAATCTCAACTTTCACTGTACATCTTGAACACCCCTGTATACGCACGAAACAGAACACGGTATTTATAACCACGCGAGGCTCGACAGAAGTGGAAGGAGCGGCCGCCGGCACCCAGAGGGCTCTCACCCGTAAATATCCAGCACCCCAATGAACGAGTGCCTCCTGCCGGCGAAGCCCAGGGCCCCGTTAATCCTGTCCACAACGAAGTCAAACAGGTGCGCATAGATCTTCTTGGCCAGCGCGTCCCTGGCATTGACGGCCTGTGGCCTGGTCATGGGTTTCACCACAGTCTCCGAGCTGGTGATGATTTTTCGGTGGCACAGCCACTGGGCAACCTGGGCACACTCCACACCCAGGAGCTCGCAGAACACCTTCAGGTGACCGTCATCCTCCTTCAAAGCAAGCAGAAACGCTGTCAGGGTCACACGGGTGTGCAAGGCACACGCAGAAGCTGGCAGGGGTGACAGGCCTGGAGCCGAGTGGGAGGGGAGTGGGGACACCAGCTGGCACCAACGTGGGCCACGCTCCCCTGGGCACCCCACGCCACCACTTCTGCTATGTGCACGTGGGTTTGCCGGCACTCTCCCTGCACAGCACGGCTCCAGGCGTGTTAGCATGGGCAGCGTGGCACGGGAGGACCAGATGGAACCCATGGGACTCCCTCCTAGGGGCCTTTTCAGCAGCAGGGGGCTGTTGTGGTTTAGATCTAAAACGGCCCAAAGGCTCCTGTAGGAGATGACTGGACCATGGGGTACTGTGCTGCTCCGTGGACTCATCCACGGATGGGCTCAGGCTGAGTGTGCTGCCCAGAGGAAGGACCTGGCTGGAGTGGCTCCTGGACTCCTGTCCCTGGCTCCTCCCTGCTCTCTGCTTCCTGGCAGCCATGAGGCAAGCAGCTGTCCTCCGCTGGGCCCTTCCATCGTGCTGTTCTGCCTTGGAGCTGGCCAACCATGGACAGAACCCACTGGAAACCATGATCCGAAAAACCGCCCCTTCCTATACGCTTTGGTGCCAGTTATTTTGTCCCAGTGACTACAGGACCGATGACAGCTGCTTGGGGGCTTCTGGATGCACAAGGTGCACCTGACTCCTCTCTTGAGCCCGGGCAGGAGAGGGCGGGGAGGTGCTCCCTTTGTCTACAGCCAGCGGGGACTGCGGCTCTTGCCATTTGGCCAGGGAGGTGGTGCTGTGTGACTGAGCACCAGGAGAACCGGGTAGCATTTTAAAGGCATCCGGATGTGGCAGAGGAAGGGAGTACGAAGTCCTGCTGCCCTACCCCCACACAGCCCCCGACCAGCGTCACAGTCCCTCTGGGCTCACGCTTGGCCTCCTTGCTGGGGCGGCACTGGTGCAGCTGTTGCTGTCCTCCCTCCTATGGAGGAACCAAACCTTCTCAGTGACAATTTCTTCTATAGCTACTGCTGCGAAGGAAATGCAGAGGTGGGAGTCTGGGTTTTTTAAGGAAGATGGTTTCACTCACATTTAATCTGCCCACCAGTCTAAGTTCCTCACATAAATGAGTGAGAGCCATTAACTCCACAGCTGGTGATTTTCCGAAGGATTTCTGGTTTGTCAGTTTTAACTTCTCCACGTGAGTGCTTCTTAGCAAAGTTCCCAAGATCAAGCTTCACGTGATGGCACTTTGGGGTGGGACTCACTTTCTTAGTCTTTAGGAGTCTGACAAGAAGGCAGACACTGACCTTTCTGGGGCGATCCAGCAAGGAAAGGAGCCTTGTACCCTACCTGGGTTTGCGCTCACCTCACCCACTGAGCAGTGCAGGGTGTTGATGGGCTGCAGGCTTGGACACTGGGGACAGGGATGGGGCAGGGGTTGTGTGAGCTGGAGAGAGAGGAATGGCCTCCTGGCCCAGGCGCGGGAGCACAGGCCGTCTCCCCAGAGCCCCTGACGCCCAGCAGCTCTCCGTAAGGTCCGTAAATAGGTGCTGAGTAGCAGAAAAACACACACAGCTCCGCCCGGCCCAGGGGAGGAAGCCGCTCTGCGACTGCCCTGACACCCCGCTTTCACCCTCTGCCCAGCCCAGCGGTGGGTCAGCCCTGAGAAGGAGAGAGGGGCAGGACTCTCACCCCGATGAAGGACCTCTCAGTGCCCGCTGCAATAACCTGCACGTTGCCCAGGTGGAGGATGGCGGCCAGGACTGTGAACACGTCCCGCTGGAAATCCTCCCGGAATCCTGGAAGCCAGAGTCCCCATCAGCAGCCGCCACCAGCAGGCACTGTTGGTGCCCAGCGAAGTGGAAGCAGGACTTCAAGAACAACAAGGCCTTCCCAGCCTCGGGCACAGGCCGCCCCTCCCTGTCGCTGTAACCCTTGGTCTGGTACAGGTGAGGCTGGCCACCGTGTCCTGTACACAAAGTTCTGGATGCCCTGCTCTCCCAGGATTCGCCGTGAGACGTGGCTCACCGGCTTGCTGTTTGCTTCTGTAAGCCTGCTTGCTCCCCCTTTTCACGTCACTAGAAGGCCACCCCTTGTTTTTGACCAAATGTATAAAACTAAAACTTGTCCTTCATTCTAAGCGCTTCCTTTGGACAGCATTCACCCAAAACCTAAAATAAATGCTCCTGATTCCCAGTGGTCTCTCCAGTCCTGAAATTCTGCAACAGGGTGGTCCAGGACACGTCTGCCCTGATTTCAAAGGAAAGCCTGGGACCAGGCAAGGAGGCCCTGAGAGGGCGGTGCCTGAATCTGTGAGGATAAAAGTTGAAGGTGCAGTGGAGACCCCAGGATATCTGAGATCCAGAAAGATGGAATGCCTGCTGAGGACAGCTCCATTCTGTGAGCAGAGCCAGCCCGGAGAAAGGTCCTGTGGGCCACAGACAGCAAGGACATAGGGTGGGTCTCCCCAAAGCTTCGGACTCACTTTACCCCCAGGTCCTGGTGCCAGCGCTGAGCTGTAGGACCTGATTTGCCCTGTCGGCCTAGTGTTTTGCTTCGCTCTGATTCTTTTCCCTTCCACACTCCTCTCTTCTGGGACAGGACTATTTCCTCTGTGCCATTGTGCTTGGGGATTTTGCAACTTGTTCTGATTTTTATAAAGATTCACAGCTAAGAGTTTGTCCTGAATCTTAGAAGAGCCTTGGACATTTGAAACATCCTGGAACTGTCCAGCTGTTGTGAAAGGGTTACTGCCTTAACCACGGCTGGAGGCAGCACAGTCCTCTCAGGTGGAATTAGGAGCTTGCCATTGTCTTTATCCGGGATTGACTATGGCTTAAGGGTGAGTTTGCTTATAAAGTTGTGAAGGTGGATTGTGACCCTAACCCTGATATGTCTGTCAGCTCAACTGATTAAGAAACACCTGGCAGAATAATAAAGCATACACCTAGTGCTTTAAAAACAAACAAACAAAACCGGCCCAGGCTACCCCTGGGGGCCACACCGCAGCCCAAACCGGAGACTTGGTTTCTGCATAAAAATGAGATTCTTCACAAAGTCAGTGCTACTCCTCCCTAACCACGAGGTCTTGGGCAAATCACTGTAGGCTCTGTGCCTCAGTTTCCCTATCGTAAAAGCGGAGAAAGCAGCCTTTCCTCCATAGGGTGCTGCAAGGCTCACCTGAGTGACTCTTGGTTGGCAAAGCCCTTCGGATGGGGCCATCAGTGTCCACTGTCTCCTGCTTTTCGTCTCAGGTCCCGACAGGCCAGGCAGGGCTACCCGTGCCTGGGCCAGCAGCACCGCTCCCGGGAAGGAGAAGCTCACTCCCCGCTCCCTGCTCCCTGTCCTCCCGCCTCGCGCCCTCACTCACCCAGCAGCGTGAAGGTCTTCTGTGTCTCCACCATGTCCGCCCTGTCGTCCACGCCCTCGATGACAGCGTTGCCGCCCATGCTCGTGTAATTGAACTCTTCGGCGGGGCCTGGGCCGAAAGGACAGTGAGCTGTGCCTCACGCTTCGCATTTCCCACACACCCGGACCCCCGTGGCGCGTCATGGGGCGAGGCGAGAGCAGGCCTGGCAGGGCCCACCACTGGCCATCTGGCTCGGAAGCGCTCATGCGGGTCTGCAGTTGGCCGCACACAATCAGGCGGTGCCTGATGCGTGTGGCGTCCGTGTGCCCCATACCCCTGGCCCAGCTAGAGTGCGGCCAGCACAGCAGAGGCCCGACGAAGCCCTCTGCATCCCAGCTCCACTGCAGGGCAGGCAGGGCACAGACGGCACCGCCCTGTGAAATCTGCAGAAACGGCGTGCTCTTTGCGGCTCCTCTAACCCCGGAAGGCGGCACTGCCTCTGCCAATGCTCACCCAGCATGGCCCAGACGGGAGGTCCAGGCCAGCGGGACTCCAGGCCTTCCGCACTTGAGCACAAGAACTGAAATGTCACTGTGACTCTGACAGCGAGTCACGGAGGGGGTCGGAGCGCAACGGAGAGGCCACTAGAAGACCGGGCAGCATCACTGGTGCCAGAGGACAGCCTTGGAGGGGCGCTCAAAAGCAATGACAGTGGGCTGTGGCAGCGGCCCATGCAGGGCGCTTGTTGGGTGGCCCTAGTTTAACACCTGGTCACTGGGGAAGCGGTGACACGTCCTGCCTGGGCCCCTCCCACCTGGCCAGAATCTTTCCTCCGGTACCTATGCCTGCTCCACTCCCGAACAGGAGGGCACTTTGTGTGTGTTTAGATAACGTGCATTATAACAATAAGGGAAAATGAACCAAGAATTCAAGCCCCTACCAGAAGAGGCCTCTCTGAGCAGCGTCTTTCACATACCCAGTTTCAGATGCCTAAACTCCAACTGCTGGGCAGATGCACAGAGCTGATAGAAAATGTGGTAATTCCGTTCATTTTCCGACTGCAAAACAGAGAAAAGGCCCTCAAGTTAGACCAGCCCTTTGGGGTAGGAATGGCAGGCTTTTAACTGCAGGGTCCCAGGTGGTTACCTGGGAGACCGCTGTTCCCGAGGACACAGATGTGTCCCCTCAACCCGGAGCCAGCTGGGTGGCCCCAGAGCAGACAGCATTCACTGGAAGCATTGTGTGGATGGGGACAGCGGGACACTCAGCAGTGACCTTGACCCAGCCCGCTCTCTGGGCGGAGCCCTTTCAAATTAGAAATCAAAACCCTTTCCCTCAACCACTCAACTCCACGGATCCCACCCACCAACTTGTTTTCCTGCTTTTTAAAAACTAAAAGAATCCAGACTGCAAATTAAAGACAGGAAAACTTGATTCTTCAAGTCGCAGAGCAACATAGGTTGTCTGTGGCGCATACAAGGGTATAATATTTATAAGTTGGGGAAAGTATTCTTACTTGAAAGACAACTCTGGATTTCTCCAGCAAATACGTCCTCATGTTGGCTCCTACAATCTGATTTCTCTCATTGAAGCTGATTTCTGTGTATTTCCCAAATCGACTGCTGTTGTCATTGCGGGTGGTCTTGGCATTCCCAACAGCCTAGAAGATATAGGGCTTTCTTGACACGACAACATTAAAAGATCTTTGCACCAAGATCATTAGAGCAGCTTTTAGTAACATCTGGTCTTGTGTACTGGGGAGGTCTGGTGGGGAGGGCCTGTGGGG